CACCTAAGTTAATGGTCACACCCAATCAACACTCAATCATTTGACAGTAACACCGAAAATGATACCCAAAATGGAGATCACACCCAAATATTTGAATGTAACACTCGAAATGACACCAAAATTGAGGGTAAACTCTAAACTAACACCGAAATTGACGATTAACACCAAAAATTTCAGTGTATTTTTCTTAAGGGGAGTCCCGCGTTCGACATTTTTTCTCGGCCTATCTCTTACAATACTAACATGAATAAAACAGGATTTTCGGATTCAACATGATAGAAGTCATCAGACGATCAGTAAGTATTCAATGAGATGCAATGATAGTTTATCGAGAAAATGATTTAGGACGCGATAGGATATTTGCATGAATGAATCTAGATATTCTGATTTAACATGATAACAATCGTCGGACAATCAGTATTCAATGAGATATAGTATTATAGAGTTGGAAAAACAAGTTAGAACATTATAGGATATTTACATAAATAAATCTGAATTTTTTTATTTAACATGATAGAAATAGTTGGACAATTAATATTCAACCTGATACAATATATGCTAGTTTATTGAGGAAATGGGTTCGAACGCGATAGAATACTAACATGAATGAAACAGGATTTTCGGATTTAACATGATAACAGTTGTCGGAGAATCAGTATTCAATGAAATACAGTATTGTAGCGTTAAAAAACCGAGTTAAAACACTATAGGACATTTACAAAAATAAATTAGGATTTTCTTATTCAATATGATAGGCGTAGTCGTATGAAAAATTTTTTATATCCGATTTGTACGATCACAGATACGAAAAATTTGAACCAAATCTCCTACTTAATATGATAAGTACTGATATAAATAAATAACTTTTTATTAATATATATCTGGATAGGAATGATTAAGTAAATATTGTATTAAAACAGATGGTTTTAAAATCTCGACATTGAGATATATATTAGTATACTTAAACAACGTGAATTGCGATTTCAACCTGATATGAAATGTATAACTGGAATTTAGGATCTATTCACATTAACCACGAATATCTCTTTTATCAGATACTGTGATAAAGGTTCTGTATCTGGATTTCACGATGATGAATACAGAAAACAGGAACCAAATCCCCTATTCAACTTGATACAAAATTTTCCAATCAGATTCTATCTGTTTTCTTGAGCAGGGAATATAAACATATTGTAAATAACATGAAAACGTATCTCAAATATATCACATTTATTATTTTTTATATCAGCTTCATTGTATCGAGGAGATTGTGATTGAAATTCGATGGACAAACCACTCTGGCTGGACATGGACAAATTCAAGAGAGGGCAAAAATTCGCGCAAGATTATTTTTTTCAATTTTTTTCACTAATATATTATCACTTTTCCAGATATTCGTTTTCACAGATGATCTTAAAAGGATGATCTTTAGACAACAATCTCACATACTACAGTATTTAGCGTTTAAAAGATAATTAAGTGTATGAACATTTTGGTAAAACCTTGTAGGCCAGTAGTCACAGTCTGTTCTTATCCATATAGAATTTTATTATCAGCTGAATATACTAGACCACAGTTAGGGGAGACCGGGTCTCGTTGGCACAGTTTTCACAATTTCGGCATTAAATCCTTTAAATAACTGATTATTATGATTAAACTATGCTAATATGATAGAAAGAACCTTTCTCTACATTTTGATACTAGAAACGATTCTGTATAATGTACAATTTCTTTGTAGTAAGTGTAATATGAACACGCTGCATTACAGCCAATTTGTCCCGATAATGGGGTAAGTTGATAGATACCATGGGACAAGTTGCCCAGAGTATACATATATCAAGACATAACCTCTTAAGAGAGGTTATAGGTTATGGAACAAATCGGAATGAATTTTCAAATCGGAATGGATTCCGATCGGAATTGTTCAATTATTAACATAAGTACGCACTTGAGAACACCGATGTCTCACGACTTTCACGTGCGAACGATAAACACATCATGCTAACCTATGCTAACCTTGCATAAATTGCATTAAATATATGAGTCAACGTACCCCATCTCTACATACATTTGATTTTTAATGGTTTTATTACAACAAATTACTATCATCACTCAAAATAGCATGTCGTATACTAACAAAAACTTTTCTTTTAACTGATAATACGTCACTTAGATTTATTTTCTCAAGTTGAGAAGTATTAATACGAAATATTGAAAAGCTCGAAAATCTACTTCGTACCCCTTGAATTACATTTTTCTCTTTTTTTATTACAATACTTGTTTGATTTAAATGAAACTTAAGGATAAATACTATGTTATAAAAGACATATTTTGCAGTAATTTCTCCATTGTTTCTTTTGACGCAAGTACATAAACTGAACGCATTGCCAATTTACCTCTTATGCCAACGAGACCCGGTCTCCCCTACTGACTGCCACAGTTCAGATACTCTGGCGTAGTACTGGTGAACTACTGACCCACTACTAGCTAAGTACTGGATAATGATTTTTAGCTCAGTATTGGCAGATGATACTGGTCCAGTCATTTTAACCAGGCATGATGACCTAGTACTGGCTGACAGAATTTTGGCCATTATTTTCATCAGTCATTTATTTGCCAGTAATGACCCAATAGTGATTCACAGAACCTTTGCCGTTAGTTAACAGTCGTAGTGCTGGGTAATCAAATGTTGGTTTTGTTGTAACTGCTGACATCTTGCTTGTGATTTTGGGTATTTTAAGACCATCTTTAATAATGTCTTAAGATGCTGATGATTGACTTAAAATAGTCTTAAATAAAAAACCGACTATGAAACCGGCTTTAGACTTGTATTTATAGTCACTCTTCTTATACTTAAGAATTGAAATTAATGAAACTAATAGCCTGAGATGATATAGTTTAGGTGAAAAATTCATAATTGCGATTTAAGCGAACAATTCTTACTCTTGAAACTATTATGATACTGATAAATTTTGAGATTTATCTGGAGACACGGTAGTGTCTCGGCGCTAAGCCAAGCACAGCGACACTATCGTAATTACTTTATGCGAGCCGACGAATTTCGGGGGATTGAGGTTATTGAATCTCAATAAAGACTGAACCGATCAAGTTTTAAGTGTGCTCAATCTATTGTGCCCGCTCAGAATATATGTATAATGAAAGTATTTATAATTTTTCTCTATACATGCCCTGTGAGCGGAGATATTGTAATGTAAAGTATGAATATGTTGATTTTTAAGTTACAAAAATTAAGATATGTTGTTCGTCGACCAGTTGAAAAATGTAGAGTTTATTTTTCGATAATAGATGGCCTTTGACTTTATCTATCTATATATATCTATCTATATACGATGACTGTGACGTGCGCACGATTTAAAATGAAATATCGAGATTGTCATTGTAATGAATTTAATTAAATTTAAATAAACCGAGACACTACCGTTGTCTCCAGAAAAAAATTCAATATAATTTAAAATATTTATTATCTATTTTTCTAATTAAACTACGTAAAAACAAAACATTAAGTAAACGACCGATACGAGCACAAAAAAATGTTGAAATTAATAATTCAATCAATTATACAAACAATACTTGGATCTAATTTAATCTATAAAATAAATTTGTATAGGGTAAAAGTACCTATTATGGAACGTTTTTCAATAATAGGAAAATATTACGGTAAAAATGTAGATTAGGGGAGCCTCCCCCAATGACCTTGACCTTGACATATGTTGTCAAGGTCATTACCCTGAGTGACCTTGAGGAAGTTTTAACCGTCGGACCTAACTCGTTAAAAAGTTATTAATAAAAAAAGTTTCAAAATTAACGTATCATTTCTGGAAAATTATAC